GCATGCCCGGCTTAGGATTAATCCCCCCCCCCCCCCCCCCCCCCCCACACCGTTTTAGACATTTCACATGAACGACCGGGGACCCCCCCCCCCCACCGCGTGCCCTCCCCATGCTGGCATCTCCGGTGTGTTGGCAACACCAACGGCAGTCTCCGACCGGGAGATCGTGGCGACAGGAGCGTCGTGTTCGGAGATGCTGGAGCAGGTGCTTCAAGCGGCGGAGTCTCGCGCCGAGGTGGGTAGTATTCGGATGCTTGTAATTCTGCGGTGCCGCTTTTGTCAAAAAAAAAATGCTCCTTTTCTGTCCGTCTCTGTTATTTCTCATACTCCATCGCCCCCCTCTTGAGTCTAGCGTTATTTCCGCGGCTTTTTTTAGCATAAACAATTGTACTTCACACAAATACAGAAAACTACCGTTCGAGATGTGGTGCATATAGTCTTACCAGTGAGTGGGAGAAAAACCAAACCGGCTGTTTTTCTTCTTTTTTCTTTTTTGTCGGTATCGATCGTGTTTCCCGAAAAAGGTGCGGGACTCGGACATCACGGCGGAAGTGGTCGAGCAGCTCAAGCAGACGGGGCCCAAGATTTCCGGCATCATCGAGGCCAACGGAGAGGGCGATCCTGCAATGCTCGAGGCCCTCTTCAAGGTTATTTATTGCGTGTTTTTGTGTTGCTGTTTCTTAAACTAACTCGTAGCTCTGTCGGATGGACAGATAATTTTTTCGCGTTCTCAAAGAGGAGGCCGAAAAGAAAAAACTTGAGTACGTTTGATTCCCGAGTTGATACGATCTCTTGTCTACGTCTGTGTTCGTTGGGAGGTGATTTCGACCAGCAGCAGGATCTGAAGCCGTGCGGTGTTTAATCGGCAGCTGCACAAGGGCATCGCACGGAGAATTCGGTGATACCACCTCCTCCCCCGTACTACCGTAAGGTCTGAAGCTCGAACGATGTAGGTAGTCTTCTTTGCTAGGAGACGGGCGAGTGGTCGATCGACAGCATAACGATGAAAGCACACCAGTAGTTCCCGCCCCCCCCCCCCCCACCTGGTCCGGTGAGAACCCGGCGTGCTCCGTCCCGGCTTTGTAGGGATGC